AGTTTTCAGTCATGTTTCACGACTCACTCATAACTGTATGTAAGGATGGTAAAAATGATCGACTTGAAATCAGCCTAGTTTTCAGACTCAGCTCTGCTTTTTCACAATGAATCGGGTCAGTTCACGCCCAACGCCAGTGGCAACTTTGATCAGCCCGTCGATCTCTTCTTCAAATTTTCCGTCACCAGTAAACACTACCCCGACCTACTTCAAATTCAAATATAAATAGCTAGCTTTTGGAATGCATTTAGACAATGAACTCGAAAGAAAAGATTTTCGGCTATCGTCATTAATTGCAGAAAAAAGCCACCTGCAAATTTACAGTTTCTGTCTTCTACTTTCTTAGGGACAATGAGGATCACAGGGAAGAGGAACGAAAGAAGTGGTGACAAATCATATCAGAAAATGTATGAAACCTCTCGGATGGGCCATCGTCGACCAATGGAAAGATGCGATATTCCACAGAAAACACTGAAGAATCGTTCTGCTGATGCAGAAATCTCTTCATATATTAACAGGAAACAACGGATGCGCAATGAAACCTCCTGTTTCGTCGTTAAATCCACTTCTGGGACATCATCCGGTTTCAGACCTTCAAGCAAACAGATTCAAACATCAAAACTGCCATCTTGCGTTATGCGTTCTGGATCTGACACTCACGCTTACAAACGTTATTGACGATTTATTCGATTTTGGTCTCACTTCATGTTCTTTTGCTTACAGCGAGGTTTGTTGCCAGCCCCATCAATTCCCTCTGATGATGCAACCATGTGGTATCGAATGGTACGGTTGTAGCAACCGCGTTGTTTGATGCACCGAGCCATGTATCATTAAATTCATTGCAACTGTATCAGGTCGTATACATGACTGGCAAAAGTGGTCTCTGTGGGCGACCATGACACGGTCATTACCGTATTTCGATGCGCCCAGATGATGGAGGGGATAAATCGGTGATAGAAATTCACACCGTAACTCCAGACGCTGGACATCATTGCTCTGTTGTAACGTTTCTCATCGTTTCATCTTTGGATAATAGATGGTTTGAAGCAGTCATTACAAGGAGTTCTATACCATTCCTGCGAAACTGTGTCGGATAGCCTCGTGACTGGTGCGTAAAATTCATAGCCGGGAGGTAAATTGCATGTCATGGCCATAGCATTTAACAGGTAGTAAATCGCCGATCTGATCCATGGCACTGTTTGACGGTGACACCGCAAAATGATGATGAAATGTGCTGAAAATGAGTAGAATATCCAGTCAGGTGTCGTACACCGTGACTTTTGACTCTAAAGTGCTTATAACTAATGAATGAAAAATAAAGATGTTCAGTCGGGCAGTGGTGCATCTCATTCCCACATGACGACAAACCTCTCAACGGTTGGCGGCATGAACTTTTATTGCAGCAGACCCACTCGGCTGGCTGCTACACATTGTGATGTCAGTGTCATTATGATCCAGTGAACGTAATTGCAGGTTTCATCATGAGTGAATCATAATGAAGGGCGTCCTCGTGTTGCCGTTTCAAGTTTTCTGTACAGAAGACGACCGCTGTCGTGTCGTCGAAACGTCACTACTGTGTAATAAGAGTACTGGCCTTCGTCTTGCGCAAAAACCACTGAATGGAAAACAGTTTATTTATAGAGGAAAATATTTGATTTGCTGGGACTTATAACATAATCGGTTCATTGAATGCTGAGTTGATTTCAAAAATTCACATTATCGTTTTGTATTTCTTCAAAAAAGGTTGTTCAAAATGAAAGTTTTTTCTAAATGATAAAGAAGCAAACTGCTAGCACAGGAAGTTCCTAAACCTAACTTAAGTTTGAAGGCACTTTTAGCTGCTCTACCGTTACTCCAGCAACGCCAGAATATCAATTATTTGTGGTCCATTTATTACAGGAAATCACATCTTGGTTCTACAGAATGGGTGGCTTCATTTTCAATTGCGACGAAACAAAGACATGGAAGATCGCATTTTGCTTACCCGCATAAACTTGACGGACACCTTGGTATGCCAGAAACGATACAAGCAGGCAGCAGTTCATCGCAGAGCCAAAAACCAGAGTCGGCAATAGAACCTAGAAAGTGTTACATCGATCGCTGATGTTTACAGTATGCAACAATATTATACGCAAACCAGAAACCGCTGGGACAAAACTGCTCTACTACAGAAACTGACACACTGTGACTGACTGATCCGCGTTGCGTCAACTGCTGGCAGTACAATGGTTAGCACAGATCATTCAGGCCTTTACATAAGATCACGACACAGGTGTGTTTTTCCATGGCAAACGCGCCATTCCGACCTCGCTGTTCGTACAGTGTGTCCCGTGTATCCATCTGACTTTGATCAGTGCCATGTTTGTATTTTATCCAAGCTGTGCATGCGATCGTTTGAAAATCAGCCACTGTAGGACTTGCTTGTCAAACTCACGAACGACAGACATACCGCGAAGCGTCCAAGGATGCAACGATTATTCCCTTAAAACAAATCCTCGAACGAAAACCTAAGATTCGCGATTTCATATAAGCAGCTCTGAACTTCTCATGCTGTCACTATGCATTTGAGACTCTCTGCTTAGTCAGGATTAGCATGTATGTTTGCCGAACAAGAATAAAGTGCATCCTCATTCCGCAACTGAGATCTTACTCAAGAAAGCTTTGGCAATCAATTCATACAAGGGAGGAAAATTTTTTGTTTCATTTTTCATTCACAGATCGAAAGTCGTGTGATCTGAAGCAACATTGATGCGCGAATTCTTATGTGAACAAACTACCTACACTGATCGGGCTGTATACGGAACTTTGACTAGAGGATGAAATCAGAATGAATTAATTGGAAAAGCAGAACAGCCTTTCAAGCAGTACAACAAGTGCCCGGTAAGGCAGGGGACTCGATCTGTCCTCAACCGATATACTAAAGGTGTCATACCGGTAGATCAGAAGGAAAGCTTCGAAAATGGGCTGAACGTTTCCAGCAGCTGCTCAACAACTGTCTTCCAGGTTCATCGTTTCTGACCGTAAATTGTATGCCAGCAATAGAGGTTAATTCAGATCCGCCCACAAAACAAGAAGTCCAAATGCCTGTTATACTTCAAGCTCTTAAAAGGTGTGAATCGAATCCCCGTCATTAAATAAATCTAGTAGAATATAGATGGTTGAAAAGCCCCATGCTATGTTTTCGTCAAATGTGGACGCGCCAATGTTTCGATCTGGAGTTTCCATCGTGAGGTTGTTGTCATAATGTTTAAAAGCGACGGCAACCGATTGCTTCAAATATCGTAGTATTATCCTACTGTAAACTCCCCTCTGAGGCAGGCGGTTGATAAAAGACCTCACCCAAATTACACTTCTTTCGGACGGACTATTCTTTCCCTAACCCAAGTTTCACACTTCCTAGCAACGCGGATCAATGTCGATTATCCACATTGTCTTTGTCTGGCACTTTCTTCCTCAGGGCTATTTCATAAAGTACTTCATTCAACCATATGGAGAGCTTGCTCTAAATTTTATGGGTCACTCTCTCACATCGTTTCAATTTTCAGACAGATTCATGTAGGCACTA